AAAAACACACTTCAAACATCTTAATGATTTATAAAGATTAGGACGCTATCTTGATAATGCATGTAAATGTTTATGGTGGAGGAAAAGAAATGCTTCTAACCTAAAAAAAAAACACTTCAGACATCTTAATGATTTATGAAGATTAGGACGCTATCTTGATAATGCATTTCAGCCACTGAAATAAAAACCTGGCCCGTGAAAAATTAATGATCGCGCCCGCAGCAGTTTTGAAACCAAAGGACTGACCCAGTAAATTATAAATGAACTTTTTATTATAATAACATGTTATTGTAACATTTACRAAAACACAATTTTTATCAGTAATCAATATGTGTTTCTTGATAAATAACATTCTTATTCTTGCTAAATATTATATATATAAATGTTCCCTTGAAACTCAGTCAAAATTACGCATATTTATTATATAATTACCAATGAAATATCTATTTTTCTCTATTTCGAAAAATTGATATCTTCACACGTGAAAATAACATGTTATTTTCACGTGTGAAAATAACACCATTGCGATGGCTATTCAAAAATACACGAAAAGAATTGCCTGAAAAAGCCAAAACGTACTTCATTGATAATTATATAATAAACAGAATATTACATGGCCGCTTTGGAGATAGGAATTTTATCTTCTCGTGTTGAAAATCTCTAACTCGTTCGCTGCGCTCACTCGTGAGAGATCTTTTCAACACTCAAAGATAAAATTCGTATCTCCGCGCGCCCATGTAATATCCTCTATATAATAGATTATAACACTATGCGTCAAAACACAAACGCAAACATAAAACGCAATAGCAACAAAAAAGTTTTGATGTTAACTAGCACTTTTAATTTCCTTGTATTTGCGCTTCATCAATCTCGTACACAGAGCATGCGCATCAAGAACTAAAGGCTCTGGGTACGAGATTGGCGTTTCATGTGTGAACATTGCTTGCGCATGCGTTAGAGTTTCCATTTACGTTGCTTTATATCTGAACCAGCAGTTTAAGCCGACTAACCACATTTGAAACAACATAAGTAAGTAGTTATAGAGGCTTTGCACCATCACGTGATGGCAGCCATGACAGGAGGCAGGAACAATTGAATCTGGTCTAATGTGATTTAAATGAGAAAGAATTCAGTTTCCCAGGGGAAAAGACTCTATTGTTGTGCCTCCTGTCATGGCTGCCATCACGTGATGGTGCAAATTAAACATTAGATACTCTAAGTAAAACTATTTATCATACTTCCTAGCTTTCTACTCCACTGGAGTCTTGGTCACAGTGAATCGTGAGTAGTTATTACGCTCTACTGCAGTCACAAGCTTTAGGGCCACGTGACTGCAATTGATTGTCCCACAACCGGTTGGCTCAGTTGGTTGAGCATCGGACTTTCGTGCGGGAGGTAGTGGTTCGGCCGGACCAACACTCAGGGTCTTGAAATAACTGAGGAGAAAGTGCTGCCTTTTTAATTACATCTGCAAATGGTTAGACTTTCAAGTGGCTCGGATGACCACTTTAAATGGCGGTCCCGTTTCTCCACACTTATCATTACTAACCAGCATAGGAGTGACGTAAAAGAACCACTGAGGACGTAAAGAAACCCTGGCAGTGACCACCCTCAGTGCCTAAACTTCATACTAACCATCTCTCATGCTTGTAAATTATATAAAAGCAATCTGTCATTCACTTCTCAATGTAAAGCGCCTTTGRTTATATTCACATAGAAAAGGCGCTATATAAATTCATAAATCATCATCATCATCATTGGGCGGTTGATATTGTTCTTCACCTCGGTTTAAATCCGGGGTGTGGATCGCCTCCCTAATGTTTCTTTCGTACCTCTGCGATTTGTATATGAAAGTTATTAACGGGAAACACATATGGTGAAATTCCCTACTTTAATGAGAATGAAAACTGCCAAAAACAAAATGTGACTTACAGTCACGTACAGTTCCTTTTACCAAACAACTTGAGTGGTATCCATGTACAGTACGCCTCAACAGTATACGTGCGGAATCAATTTGCAGTCACGAAAAAATAGTTTCCATGACATTGTTGGAAAACACAAAGTTTTCAAGGGCACATGCCTATGGAATGTCATGGAAACGCCTTTTTAATGACGGTGTTCATTACGCGTGCTATTAGAGCAGTTTTCGCATGATTGTGAAAACCACAGGGCCGTATGGTGCCGTTTCGTGACCTTGATGTTGTCTAGAATTCGCTAAAGATTAATCGAGGTGCTAGTTTCTAAGCTATAAATCAATCAATAAAAGTTTTTTCACACCAAAAAATAGATAAGGATTAATTACATTGGGATGCATAAAGATTAGAATAATAACTGGAACTTGTTTTTACATATATCTATTATCTATCTATTCCTATAAAGTGCTACGCGGTCCAGCTTCCGTGATTGCTTAATAATTCATTTAATGCGCAGATGTATTCACCGAATTATTCTAAGGGCAATCCTCGAAATTATCGTCCAATTTCTTTAGAACTTCAACTTGGTTTACATATATATCTATTCCTTTCTAGTGTTACGCGGTCCATCTTTCGTATTTACTCATTCATTCATTTAATGCGCAGATATTTTCACCGACGATTTCTAATAGCAATACTCGCAATATGTGTTTCTTAGGCACTGCAACTTCTTTCTAGTGCTAATCAGTCCACGTCCTTTCGTAACTACTTTTAATTAATGCGGCATGTAATCCACAATTGCCATTCACTATCTAGTAATCGGCTTATAAAAGTATTTTCCTTTACTTCTGCAAATAGATTGCAATGTAATAATAAATGTATAGTTAGATTTAAAATGAACCGTCCTAGTTTTTCAAGGGTAGCACTTAAAGCAGATGCCCTCATTTTGGAATCCACTTTAGCTAGATACAAGAAATAGACTTATCATTTTTACAACTCGTGAGGAATAGATCAGAAATAACAGCACAGATTCGCGCGCGAGTCAATCCTCAAAGTAATACTATCCAAACAGAAATTTTCCTCAGGCGCATGTGTCAATTAATCTTAAATTGGATTTAAGAAGCTTTCCTTTTCCCTGGAATCAGCTGCCGGGCATGTCGTAATGAAGAACGCCTCTCTTATACCAACGTGTGCCCCTAGGTTACGCGTACATCATGATCCAAGGGATTATTATCCACTTGATTGTGGCATATTCAGTGATATATTAATAGAGGCATTATCATCGGTTCTGTTAGTATGTTAGAGCAAGTCAGAGTCGCAGCATCAGTATTGAGATGTGTCCCTGAGTTCCATATTTACAGTAAGTTGTATTTATYGACTTGTCGTTTGAATTTCTATCCATATCAATTCTACTATTTATTGTTCGTTTTCTCTTTTTCTGTTTTTCTCTTTTCTTGGTTCCCCCAGCTTATTCTTTATTCTTTCATTTTTTCTTCTCATATTCCTTCACTTTCTTAATTTAATTTAATTTAATTTTTTTTCTTTCTCTTTCTCTTTCTCTTTCTCTTT